ATCTCTGCACTATATTAACCCATAGGAACAGAAGCAGCCTTAAGGATGGCTCAAACTCTCTCCGTTGAAAACCCAGGTCAGAAATTTATTAATCCATTCATGTATGTTTGTATATTTTTGAGAAAATTTTGAGATTAAGGAGTGATTTTTACAGTCTCAGTAGTTCAGCAGCAGAAGGTGATAATTCCAAACAAACATGGGGAAAAGCTTGTGGGGATATTGCATGAAACCGGGTCTAAACAGATTGTAGTTTTATGCCATGGGTTTCGATCCTCCAAGGTTGTTGATTCTAAAGTTGGGAGCTTTTTAGTTTTACTGTTTCATATTAATTAGAAGTACATAATTTCTCCAACGATTTTCTTTGATTTATTTTCCAAGGATACAAGGCTCACTTGTTTTGGCTGTATTGTTTTAGGGAGAGGAAAATATGGCAAACCTTGCTGCTGCTCTAGAAAAAGAAGGCATCAGTGCCTTCCGTTTTGACTTTGCTGGAAATGGGTAAGCCGGCTGCTGATATTGAAACAAGTTAATGTTTTCATCATTTCTGTTCTTAGCAATTGTACCATGTTTACATATTATTGTTTATTTCCAATTTGATATGATGATTATGGTTTAGTTGGTCAATATTCCAAGAGTGTGATGGGATTGCGGATGTAGAAATAGTTTCTGTACATATTTCTGATAACATGATTGTAGTGGGATTAGTCATTTGTTGACAGTGTGTGGTATTCTACTTTGTGGTTCAACAGATATCTCTAATGCCACTTTTTTGAGTTCTGAAACTGCTGGGTCTGTGGATATATTAGTTTCCTTTTTAACATTATTTATTCCAGAGAAAGTGAAGGTCAATTTGAGTATGGTAATTATTTTCGAGAAGCTGATGACTTGCATTCTGTAATCCAACACTTTAATGGTGCAAACCGTATTGTAGCTGCAATTCTTGGGCATAGCAAAGGTGAGTGGGATCATTCAAAGTACATTGTCTATGGATTTTAAATTGTGAATAAGTTTAAAACTGTTCATTAAAAATTGGATTTAAGTTCTCGTAGCAATTTTTTGCTTTTACAACTTTTCTTTGGATGCAATAATGTACATGAAGGGGGTGGTGTGGTGCTTCTGTATGCTTCAAAGTATCACGATATCCACATAGTTGTCAATGTTTCCGGCCGGTATGATTTGAAGATGGGCATTGAAGAACGCCTGGGAAAAGACTTTATGGATCGAATTAAGAAGGATGGGTACTTGGATGTCAAAAATAAGGCAGGTATGACATGTTCTTGTGCTAGCATGTGTACTTTTGGGATAGCCCATTATGACCATTTCTAACTGCTTTTCCTTTCCTTTGCTCCAGAGGAGTGAGGACATATCACTTATATAGCACAATCACCTGCATTTATCTTTCCAATTTTAAAATTTGGGAGAAAATAAAATTTGCATGGGCATATGCATATCCACACTTTTGATCTTGCTTTAAATTTTTATGTATTTTCATGTAATAGAGTTTCACTACGTGTTTATTTTTTTGTATTTGTAGGAGGTGTTGAATTTCGTGTAACTGAGGAAAGTTTGGTGGATCGCCTAAATACAAATATGCATGAAGCATGCCTTAAGATTGATAAGGAATGCAGGTGAGGAAGCAAATCATTGACCATTTTTGTAATGATTTAGTAACATAGTCTGATCTTCTTATGGTATTGGTATGGAGGGCAAGTTTGACTGGAGCATTTGTTTTTGATGATTCATGAGTTGTCTTATAGAAACTGGATTGTGAAATCTCAGAAAAGTAATTGAAATAGAGCTTTATGCCCTCAATGATAAAGTGTTCTGTTATCTTTTTAGTGATGATGATAAAGAAGTTCATCTTGGTATTAGGTTCAAATCTTTACAATTGCTGAACAAGAGAAAAAACAGTGAAGGGCGAGAATCACAATTCTGTTACCATTCTCTTCTCTTCATATGTCTGTTTGACTACCCATTTTTATCATAAAAGTCTTGGTTATTAGCTACTTCCATTTTTTTGGTACAATAGATTGTTCATATGCTTAGCTTATGTTCATGAGATGTTATTTGTACCATATTGACTAATGTTTTATGTATACAGGATCTTGACAATCCATGGAACTGCTGACCAGATGATCCCAGTTGAAGATGCATTTGAATTTGATAAGATCATACCTAATCACAAATTAGAGATTGTAGAAGGCGCAAATCATTGTTACACTAAGCATCAAACTGAATTAGCATCTATTGTTGTGAACTTTATAAAAACAACCCTACAGGAAGACAAGGGTGCTCCAAATTAGGTAGTTCTCTTCTGATTAGCTTTTTATGTCAAGTAGTGTATTCACAGAAATTTCGAGTGTCTAACATTGTTCCTGATAGCAAATTCACTGCAATACAGGTATCTGGTGGAATGCACCCATGATTATAAGGTCTGAATCTGAATTGGCAGTCATGAAATTCATCTAGCTTTGCACGGGGAGTATTACGAGATAATGTCAAGGAGGATCTGGGTTCTCACTATTTCTGAATTTCAGGGAAGTTGAATGTTTTAGATTAGTATTAATAAGATTATATATGAACCATGATTTGTATTCTGCTTGGAAGTTCCAGCACAACTTGGTCAGTGTAGCGATCAAAAGACATAACAATGGGTAGTGATTGTTGGCCTTTAAACATGATATGCTTGTAGTTAGTGTATTTTTGAAGCATTGCAATCCTAGAACCCCATAATAATGAACAAAGTTTTCACCTAGACCAGTTTATTTACAGAATGAGGTTACAATCCTTGAAATGGCCCAGCAAAGTTAACATTTGCAGCGATACTGCCAGCACGGAACATAGTTTCTTTGAGTAATTCTTATTCCTCAAGAGGCTTAATTTGATAAATCATCTCTTAACTATTAATATTTTTTTTGTTTTAGTTTAGGATTTTTGTTTTTATTTTCTTAAAGTCATCTATTAACTTTTAAAATTGTATTAATTTCATGTACCTGACAAAATTTCTTTAATTCCATGTCATTGAGTAACATCTGACCTGAAAATTGAGAGAAAATTGCTGCCTCTTTGTTTCAATAACCTAATTAACAATAAATAATTAAATTAAATATAATCTAATTGAAACAAAATTCCATTAAAATAACAAAAACAAATTTAATCACGCTACACGTTACTTATTTGATAGCTTAAGTGGGCACCATATAAGCAATGACATTGTCTTTTGTTAATCTTACAAATGAAATTGTATTGGGCAGATGAATTTGAAATAATTTTGAAAGTTGTAGATGACTCTGGAAGAAAATAAAAACTTGAAACTAAAACTGAAAAAAATTGATAGTTATTAGTTGATTTATTACATTAAGCCCTTCCTAACATGACATAAGAGAGCAAACTATATTTCCAGGACCATTGTTAGATGACCTGCATGTTTTTTTCTCGTTAATTGGGGCTGGCATGGCTTCCATGCACTCTTGCAAAAGCTTACGAGATAGAGTTTAATGCATCTTCCCCCAGTTAGGCTCTTGCTGTTATCAATTCCGAGGCCCATTGGGTCCAAACAGTAGGACAAAGCCTATTCCCCTGTTGGGCCCTGTTCACTCCAATAGGAACTCTACTGAAAATGCCTGCAGCAACTTTTTCAGATTGAAACGGGAAGGACCAAATTGTTTCAATTCATCATTTGATGCTTTGCTAATAAAAAATTATAAAAGATTTTAAGACTAAGATGGCAAATAGCAATGGGAAGTTGCTACAATGGTTAAGGACATGGCGAAAAAGATTTGGTAAGTGGCAAATTCGAGCCCAAATATCAAGAAATGGTATGAAAGATTAATGTTCCTCACCATAGATTGTGAGTGATACTGGTTAAGAACAGAAGTTATTTGGATAGAAGGAAATAGAGAGAAGGGAAGGAAAGGACTTTCGTCTAATGATAACACGAATGTGACAATAATTAAAATTTGTGAGGAGTTACCAATTATCAAATATTGCAAAAGGAAGATAAACAAGAATTCAAATATTACTAAGGATTGACAGTTTGTATATTTAGTCAATTATATTTGTAAAAATCTGAAAAAAGAAAAGAAAAGAAAAAATCAAATTGTTTAAGGGCTTCGTAGAAAAAGTTCTATATACATATATTTTAAAATAAAAAAAATTTATATTTATAATATCACATGATATTATAAATATAATATTATAATTTTTTTTATAGATAAGTATAATATTATCGTTTTAAAATAAAAGATAAGATAAAAGTTAAATCCCTTATTTACACCTTAGATATTTTTTCTTTTTATAGTTAACACTATAAATTTTTTTTTTTTCAATTAGCACCTTTTATAATTTGAAATCAGTAAAAAACTCAAAAATTAATAGTCAAACTCTTTATTTACACCTTAACTTTGTTAATAATTTTAAGTTTTTTTTTTTGTAAATTTTAAATTATGAAAGATGTTGATTAAAAAATTAATTTAAAATATTAATCGTGAAAAGAAAATATACCTAGAGGCAAATAGGTGTCTTCGCCTAAGAGAAATCAATTCGGACAAACTAGAATGACAATTCCTCAATCACATGATTAATGTGTGTGTTGGACTCGTTCTGGCAAGCACTTTCACGTTTAACATAATACACATCAATAATAATACTTTAATTGTTAATTTGAATCTTCACTTTTCTTTTTTGGATCTTCCCTTTTTTTCTTGTAAAGATGTCAATGATTTGGTATGTAATGTGTACATATGGATAACAATCAAGGAAACTAAACATAATTAATAATACACGTAACTATAAGCAAGAAAGAAAAAGAACATATTTCTAAATTAAGCTTGGTTCCAAAGTCAAAAAGACGATGGGGGAGCGACCAATCTTGCTGTTTCCTGATTTTCTGCAGCCTGGACTCATTCCTTCAAACATTCCTCAAACACTATTCTGATCACCTCATCGTCTAAAACCTCGTTGCTATCTAGTTGTCCATCATTACTTTACATTTGTATTACTGATTTGCTTAATTTGTATAGTTAGGGTACATATTAAAAATGTATGATTATATTTTTTTTATTAATTTGTATGGATAAATATAAAAATTAATTTTATTTTTAACAACAATAATACATATATAATTTTAATTAAATAATCAATAAAATTAAAATTAACTTATCTTTCATTTATACAATTGATAAGAACATAAAATATAGAAAATGAAATAGTATTTATTCATCTTATTTTTTAAAGATTAAAAAAATATTATTTTAAAACTATATCATTTTAATAAA